CTGTATTGGCCCCTTCACTTTTACAAGGCAGATTCCACCAGTGAGCTATTTAGATTGATGGGAAGGGCTTGCAAAGGCAGAAGGCAGAATGGGGTTAGGAAAGCAATAGAAAAAGAAACCAAGTACAGTGTTAGAAGGTACAGTGTTAGAAGCCACTTTTCAGCTCAGGTAACTTCATCTAGCCAAGCTTGGTAAGCTAAAGCAGCATGCACTCTATTAGTACTTGATAGTACACCACTAGGAAATCCAGGGTTGTACCCTCAACTGGAAAGTGGCAAAATCCTGCAAGATGATAAGAAAGACAAGTCGTCTATCTCTCCATTCTTTGGTCATTCTTGTAGATTGCCTACTCCAACAGATTCAGGGCAATTTAGCACGTGGCACGACAAAACCGCGCTCGTCAAAATAGCGGTGATAAAATCGCGTCGCTAAAGCCGCAACGTCATCACCGCGCGTCATCACCGCCGCAGCAATAGCGCGGCAACAGAAGGGCGCTTTAAAACGGCGCCGTGGCAGAAAGCCGATTTCAATTAAGGTAAGGGTTACGATTAGGTTTAGGGGTTTGTTTTAGGGTTTGTTTTAGGGTTAGGTTTAGGGTTAGGTTTAGGGTTAGGTTTAGGGTTTGTTTTAGGGTTAGGTTTAGGGTTAGGTTTAGGGTTAGGTTTAGGGTTAGGTTTAGAGTTAGGTTTAGCATTAGATTTAGCGTTAGGTTTAGGGTTAGGTTTAGGTTTAGGNGCCTGCAGTGCTGCATTTAACCACTGCGCCACCTCGGCTCGGCTCAGTGATTAAGTGAATCACTGCGGTTAAATTAGTAACTGGTCTTTAAGTGAATCCGGCTTCCTCATGGACTTTGCTTGTCAGAAGGTCGCAAAAAGGGGATCACATGACCCCAGGACACTGCAACCATCATAAGTCTAAATCAGTTGCCAAGCATCTGAGTTTTGATCACTGACTATGGGGGATGCTGTAATGGTTCTAAGTGTGAACAATGGCCATAAGTTACTTTTTTCAACGCCACTGTAATGTTGAACAGTCACTAAATGGACATTGTGATCTGCTGGCAGCCAGTGAAGCTGGCAGCAGAACTGGGCAGTGAGGAGGTTGGGGAGGAACATGGGCCAGTCTTGGAGTCTGGGGAAAGCTTGGGCGAGGGCTTTACGTTGGAGGCAGAGAGGGGGACAGGGCCATCTGGTAGTGATGTGCTGCCTCCGGGGCCTCTAGAGTCTGACATCAGCGAGGCAGAAGAACAGTGTGAGCCTGTTCCGAGTGCCCATGCGCAGAGCTGCCCTAAGGCAAGAACAATTAAGAAAAAAAAGGGTGAACTCGGGAGTAAGGCTTGGAGATGATTGGCCCTTCCCATAAGACATGAAAGAGAAGCAAACGGACGTGAGCCTTTGTAGGAAGCAATTAGTTCACATAGTCGGTTCAAGCTCTGAGAAGTCGTTTTTGACTCTGTGCTACATTTGGCCTTGCAAAACTAATTGGCAGTTAGGTCTCTGGCAGTGTTTCAAGGGAGATAAAGGGGGGGGGGGTGCTTATCAACATTACCCTGAAAGACTGTCAACTCGAGCAGACATCTGTCGGAATCTTCACAGACTGTTTGTGAATCATTACGGGCTGTGAATGACCATAATTCACAGCCGTCTAAATAAAAGAGGGTTTTGGGGACTAAGATTGTGATTTATGCTTTCTCAGGAAGCCTAGGTCAGAACAGTACTGTTGTAAGTCGAGGACTACTAAGGTTTATCCAAGTCTATGCACAAGAATGGAGTCAACTAAGTACAACAGATAAAGGTCAATAAAATTCAGGAGGGGTTGAACTTTGAGCACTGGTGGAAAAGCAATGACTCTAAACCGATGAACTCCACCCTCTCGCTCTGCCTGCTCTTCTACTACAGAATAAACTTGACAGGGAATTCTTATCCTTTTTCTACTGAAAGCAACTGTTGTTTGGACACTGATCTGACATCAGAATTTTGTTTTTATATCACTGCACACCCAGATATGGTTTCAGGTTCTCTCCTCTCTCCCATGAATGCAGATAAACTCCAGTGGGTTTTTCTCAGTTTTGGTCTGGATACTGAGACTCTAGGAAAAGTGCAGAGATTAGCAACAAACAAATGAACAATTGCAGAAATTGGGTATGTCTAGTTTAATGAAATGAAGGACTAGGGGTAGCAGTGTTCCAATGTTTTGTTGCCACAAAGAAATCAGGGTCAAGCTATTCTCCAAAGCACCTGAGGGCAGAACAAGAAGCAATGGGTGGAAACTAAACAAGGAGAGAAGCAACCTAGAACTAGAGAAGTTTCCTGACAGTTAGAACAATCAGCGGAACAATTTGCTGTTGTTGAAGATGGGGGTGCTCCAACACTGGAGGTTTTTAATAAAAGATTGGAGAACCATTTATCTGAAATATTATAAGGTTTCCTGCTTGAGCAAGAAGTTGGATTAGAAGACCCCCAAAGTCCCTTCCCACTCTGTTACTCTGTTATTCCCTCTTTTAAGCCTGACTAATAAAACTTTAAAAGAAGAAAAGGAAAATGTTTTAGCAGTATGTTTTAAAGCTACACCCGAAGCACACTTCTCTGCAACAGTCTCAGGGCCATCAGTCATTCCAGGCTAAAAATGTTTGTTTTATATATTACTATGCTAATTTTTATTTTTATTAGCATCATATTAAAGAGTTGTATAGCAAACAGGAAAGGGAAGGGAAAACTCTAGGTAAAACTGCCCAAAAGTGGAG